TAGCCCAGGCTGGCCTCAAACTCCTCCCTCAGCCTCCTAAGTGCTGGGATTATAGCTGTGGATCACTATGCTCACCTTTCGGAACCAAAAATTTTATAAATGAAAGAAACATTAAAAAAAAAAAAAAGATAAAGTCACCTCCCATATGTAATTCACCAACCTCCTCTCAGGAGTGATGTTCCCAAACTGCTTAATCTACTACAACCAGCACTTTAGTTAAAAGAAACATACTAGCAGGGAGAAAAAAAAGAAACATACTAAGAGGACATGGGGCAGGGTTTCTTAACTTTGGCAGTACTGCTATTTTATACATGATAACTAACTCATTATTGAGGGTGCTCTGCTGACATTAGAGGCTGCACAGCACCATCTCTGGTCTCTATCTACCAGATGCCAAGTGTATGACACCAGCTATGATGATCAACACTGTCTGCAGATATGGACTAATGCCACAGGGAGCATGATAACCCCTGCAGGAAAACCACTGATCTGCAGACCTGAGTATTTGCCTGGCTTAGTCACTAGTTCCCTGGTGACTTTGGAAAAGTCACTTCCCCCTCCACCCCACCCTAGACCTGAGATGCTCTCTTGGCATAACTGTTCTCCAGAGCCCCTTCCAGCTCTGGGATTTGCGGAGTTGATAAATTCCTATCTTCTATGAGGTCCGCAAAGTTAAACAGATTAATTAGTACAATCCAAATGTACTAGAACTGTAATTGAATTTATGCATGCATGATGAAAATAAGATAACCTTTGGCTACTTACCCGGATTCAGGACTTGTAGACAGTTTCGGTTTCCTGATTGGTCAGCTCCTCCAAATACCCAGATGCTGCCAGGTGTGCAGGAGGGAACAAAGCTGGCATGTTCATAGCGGGGCAAGAGGCCCTCCTGGGTAGCCAAGTCCCACCGGTGTGTTCCTGGAAAACATTTCACCTGGTTCCTAGATTGGAGCTGCTAACTGCTTGCCTTGATTGACAGACTTAAGGAGGGCAGTGAGGATAAGGCCAAAAACATAAATGAGAGCTGGGCATGGTGGCGCAATCTATAATCCCAGAACTTGGAAGCCTGAGGTAGGATCATCACTGTGAGTTGTGCCAACCAGGGCTACATAGGGTGTCAAAAAACCAATAAAATAAAAGCATAAATGAACAAACATTGAGTTGCTTAAAAAAAAGGTGATCAAGTTCCTGGAAGTTTGATAGGAGACACTTTAGGGGCTGTCTTCTTAGTCTACAAACTCCCTTCCATGGGAACTGTTCCTAATCTCCCTCCTAACCACAAGGGCAGAGCCACAAAACGTGTGTACACCACACCTTGACCTTGTATCTTTAGCTGACTGGGTGGGAGGTAGCCATTGGCCCAATGGGCCAATCAGATCCACTCTCTCATGAAGTTGGGCTATATTTCTGGGCCTTGGATTCTGCAAACACTCTTGATATCTATATAATTTCTTTTTTCCTGGTTTAAGTGGGTTTCTGTTACCTGCAACTAAATGATCTCTGGCTAAGATGAGTTTGCTGACTAATAACACTTAACCTATTAGTTATTTTAGTTAGTGAACTACTTATATAAGATGTTCACAGGTGCTGGGTATGGTGCCACATACCTGTAATCCCAGCACTCAGGAGGCTGAGGGAGGAGGATTGAGGCCAGCCTGGGCTACAAAGTGAGTTCAAGACCAGTCTGAACTGCATAGTAAGACCATCTCAAAAAGACAAACAAAAAAAAAGGATGTTCACAGGCATATCTTATTGAATCATTATGTCTACTAAATGAAGTAGTTGCTTTAAGGGATACTGAGGTCTAGACAGTGTAAGTGGGTTAGCCAGAGTCATAAAGATAGTAATAGATTACAATAAACTTGTTAACTGTGGGCTGGAATTATAAGTCAGGGTAGAGCAAATGCCTAGCATGCAAAAAGCCTGGATTTGCACAGATCTGCAAGCCAAAAAAACATGTAACTGAACTAGCCAGTGGGCTCCTAGTGGCCTGAAACAGGTTTGTGCCTTTTTATCCCCCCAGTGCTGGGGATCAGACTTGGGACCTTGCACTCTGCTGGAAATGACTTTAGCTTTGACTTCCCAGTGCAGGGTATAGAAATTCCAGTGTCTAGAGAGCAGTAGCAAGGACTGCGGCAACGTGGAGAACAAAGCCCCAGCAACAGGTGGCAGCTCAAATAATGACTGCCAAACAGCTATGCAAGCCTGCTGATGTCAGACCTTTAAAATGATCACAGCAGCAAATGAGATACTAGCTCCTGACATGTGACCAGGGATCAGCGCTTGCCTAGCATTCAAGAGGGCCTAGGTTCAATCTCCAAGAAAAGAAAGAAAGAGAGAAGTTTTGTTTCGTTTTTTGAGACAGGGTCTTGCTATGTATTCCAGGTTGGCTTTGAACTCATTATATAGCCCAAGCTGGCCTCAAACTCTCAATGATCCTCCTGCGTCAGCCTCCTGAGTGCTGGGACCACCCCCAGCTAAGAGAGAAAAGGAGGGAGAGGGCACGAGAGGGAGGGAGACAGAAGGAGAAAATTCATGAGGCCAAACCTTTTTTCTTCTGCTGCTGTGTCAAGGACTGAACCCAGGGCTCACACATGCTAGGCAAATATCCTACCACTGAGCTACATCCCTAGACCATAAATTTTTAAACGTAGAATCCTGCAGCCCTGTTTGTAAACAACTTAAGATCACAACAGCAACAGAAATGTTACATGAACCTAATGAAGTATGTATGTGGGTCACTAGTTTTTAACTTCTGCCCTTATGTAGAGCATGTAATGGTAAGTCATTTGTGAGCTTGTTAATGCATTTATTTGTTGAAACAAAGCACCTGCTCCATGCAAAGTGCTCTGTCTGGCAGTGGCTGGGGATGCAATGAACAAAATAACCATATTCCCCGTTTTCAAGCAGCTTATATACTTGAAAGACAGACAAGAAAGAATCACATACGCTAAAAGCTGAGAAGAGAGAAATGGCTAAAGTGTATACGATGCTATGGACACATACAGGAGAATGATGTCTAAACTAGCCTAAAGGTGGCAGGGAAAGCTTCCTGACATGTGACCAGGGATCTGTAGCCAGATGATAACATGAGAAGGACCTTCCAAACAGAGGCCATTGTATGTGCAGTGGCATGGAGGCCAGAGTGCAGGGTATGACTAAGGAACTGAAGGATATTAGGTGCAGCACATGTGGGTTAAGAAGACCCAGGAGACAAGCTTGGAAAAAGCTTGAGCAGGGAAAGTGATACAGATGGACTTGCATTTAAGACAAGAAGCTCTGGCTAGGTATGGCAAAATACATTGGACAAGGGTAAACCTGGAAGCAGGAAGACCAGCAAGGAGGTGAGTCCAACAGTCTGAGAGGTAACAGTGCCTTGGGCTACAGTGGTCATGGTGGAAGTGGGAAGACACGTCTGAAGATAGGAGGTATCTAGGAGACTGATTAGATACATAGCTGGAAGGACAGGCAGGAGTTGGCGATGTCTACTAGAGAAGTATCTGATGAACGAATAGCTGGATGGCAAGAGCTCTGTATAAATTCTTTCCTCCCAAACGAGGAAGTATTGGTTTTCCAGACGTGTGCAAGAGCCTCAGCTAAGACCTGAGGGCCCTCTCGGTGATGTCCTTTTTTTTTCTTTTTTTCATCTTTTTGAGACAGGGTCTCACTATGCAATTCAGGCTGGCTTTAAGCTCACTTTGTAGCCCAGGTTGGTCTCAAACTCACAAATGATCCTCCTGCCTCAGCCTCCAGAGTGCTGGGAGTATAGGTGTACACCACCATGCCCAACAGTGATGTCCTGTTTTTTAAGAGGAAAACCGTGCTGTCTGGTCTGAGTTAGCGTTCTTAGGTACGTTCAGCCCGTGGCTGGCAGCGCAAAGCCGGCTGTGCCTCACAGCTGTGGGTCTTACCCAGATCCATGGTGTGCACATCTGAGAAGCTTTGGTTTGGATTTGCTCCCCCGACAATGAAGATCTTCCCTCTCTCAGTGTCGCCAACTGGAGGTAAATATGAGCAGCTGTGGCCAACTCGAGCACACGGGCTGTCTCCAGGGGCAGTCAAGGTGTACCTGCCAAAGGAGGATGCTTTCAAGAGGCCTGAGCAGAGAAGCAACGGGCCCGGGTGTTCCTTCCATTCTCTGTGCAACAGACGCTGGGAGGAAGGGCCTGATCCACACAGACACCCTGCGTGCAGCACACAATGCGCCCTTGATCGCTGACGGTACCTTCCCTATGCTTACCGTCCTTTGCTGTTCCATTTTGTCACTACCCTCACCTCACAGGAATCTGAAGGGGATGCACAGGACTAGGAAGGTCCTTACTTGGTACACAAGGAAACTGACATCCGGAAGTGTTCGTGGGTATACCTTGGTAGTTTGTAGCCAGGCACAGTGGCACACACCTATAATCCCAGCACTCAGGACACTGAGGCAGGAAGACTACTGTGAGTTTTGAGGACAGCCTGGGCTACACGGTGAGTTCAAAGTTAGCTTGAACTACAGAGACCCTGTTTCTACACAAAATAACTTTTTTGAATTTTAGTTTCCTTATTTGTAAAATAAGCACTTGGATTCCCCACACCCTCCCCTTGGGATGGGGGGTTGGTTTCTCTCTCTGTCTCTGTCTCTCTCTTTCTCTCCAGGGTCCTATTATGTAGCCCAAGCATGTCATGAACTCCTGGGCTCAGGTGATCTTCCTGCCACAGCCTCCAAGTAGCTGGGGCTACTGAGGTATGCCAGGTATGGTAGCTACTGTGCCTGGTTCACTTCTAGATCTCTACTCACCTTTTTGGGACTCCTTTCCTCCTAGGCTTCTTCTAACTCTCAGCATCCTTGTAATTTTCTTTTTCTTTTTTTTGGAATTTTATTTTTCTAAATCTATTCTTTCTATCTTTTTAAAAATTTGACCCCATTTAATTTAATTTTTTTCAGAGACCGGGCTGTGCAGGGTTAAGTCGCTACCCACAGGGACCTCTGGCTGTGTTGGAAAAGGGCACCTGCATAGTGCTCCGAAGTCAAGATGACACCACAGCTGTGGCAGCCAAGGACATGGGCTGCTGACACCCCCTGTTCCAGAGCAATGAAGCTGCTAACCTTAGAGATAAGGCAGTTCTCTTAGTTGGCAAAAGGTACTGCTTCGAGAAGTCTTTGAACTGACCTCCCAAGGTCCTGCTCAGTTCCTGTGCTTGCCTCAGTATCCCCTTCCTTTGTTTGAAAACCAAATAAATAGGGCTGTCCAGTAAAGCTCTTTGTCTGTACTCTTGAGAGGGTTCTGACCTTCCTGGAGGCCCCCAAATCATACTACTGGTGTTTTATCTAAGTTGTTGGCTGTCCATTCAAGTAGGAGATTGGGGCTGGGCCAAGACCCTGACAAACTGTATTTTATTTTCCACTACCTGAGGTTGAACTTAGGACCTTTCACACTGAACCCTGTACATACCCAGCCTTTTCTCTATTTTTTATTTTGAGATAGAATCTTGCTAAGTTGCTAGGTTTCCTGGGCTCAGCTTGAAGAGTGCTGGGGTCACAGAAGGGCACCACCATGCCTGGCTTATCTCTATTCATCAGTGGTTTCCAATCTGTTTCTTGTTCATTCCCCTTTCACATCCAGATTCACACATCCCATTACCACGTGAACAGTTACTAACAGTGTACCATGAACGTTGCTAAGCACATTGGCACCCTGGCTTTCTCCCATCTGTTTAGAAGTCCTTTGAGGACTAGTACTATTAACATTTGAGTTCTACCTCGGAGGAACTGAGGCTTAAAACAGTTAAAAGGTCTGGCCAAGTGTGGCTGAGGCAGGAGGAGTGCCAGGAGTTCAAGGCCAGCCTGGGCTGCATAGCAAGACCCTGTCTCAAAAAACAAAAACAAAAGAAAAAGTTAGAAGGTTAAATTATAAGAACATGTAGGCATGTAGGTAGTTGAAAAACAAGCTAAAAATTTCCCTGCCGTCACATCCCTTATAGACTAATTATAAAGACAAATGTTAACAATCTCAGCAACTATTTATTTCAATTATATAAAAAGTACAGGATAAACCAAACACGGTGGTATATGCCTGTAATCCTCACATTCTAGGAGCTAAAGTAGAAGAATCTTGAGTTTAAGGCCAGCTTAGGTTACAGAGTGAGATTTTATCTCTATTTATTTATTTATTTTGGGGGGTTTTTTTGAGACAGGTTCTTACTATGCAGTTCAGGCTGGCCTTGAACTCACTCTGTAGCCCAGGCTGGTCTCGAACTCACAATGATCCTCCTGCCTCAGCCTCCCAAGTGCTGGGATTACAGGCATGCACCACCATGCCCATTTTTTTTTTTTTTTTGGTACGGGGAATCACACTCAGGACCTTGTGCTTGCCAGGCAGGTGCTGTGCCCTGAGCTACATCCCTGGCCCCAAGATTTTATCTCAAAACAAAAATAAAAACAGGACAAACAGGTGAGCAAATAGCACAAGAGCAGAGGTGGTAATGGGGTGGCCACAGGAGGCTTGCTGAACAAGCACATTTGAACTGAGATCTGAAGTAGGAGTAGAAAGCAGCTGGGCAAAGGAACAGATGAAAAGCGCAGGGAAAGAGAGGTGCGGGTGGCACAGCTCCCAGTGGGACAGGGCAGGGTATGTTAAAGGGAGATAAAGAGAGCAAAAGAGTGAGTAAATTTGGAAAGACAGGAAGAAAACAGAACATGTAAGGCCAAACGGGCCATTATAGGAGTATGGTTTTGGTTTTTTGTTTTTATACTGCTAGAAATAAACCCAGGGGCTAGAACCCAGGGCCTTACATATGCTAGGCATTCACTCTACTACTGAGCCACATCCCCAGCCTGCTAAGGGGTTTTAAACTAAGGAATGGGGCTGGGGCTGTAGGTCAGTGGCACAGCGCCTGCTTGGCAAGTGGGGGGCCCTGAGTTCGATTCCTGGTACAAAAATAAATAAACTAAGGAACGCCAGCTGGATGTGGTGGTGTTCACCTATAAGTCCCAGCACTCGGGAGGCTGAGGCAGAAGGATCAGAGCGGGTTTGAGGCAACCCTGGGTTACACGGTGAATTCAAAACCAGCCTGTGCTACACAATGAGACTCTGCCTCTAAAACAATCCATCGTACAAAAAGGCAACGCCATGGTCAGATGTGTGCTGGGAATTAAGCAGGATGGACACAGGGAAGTCAGAGCGGAAGCTGTCCTTCAAGGTTCCAGGAGAACACTGCCACCTCTCTGCAGCCTCCTAGGAGCCCTGTGTTAGCAGTGATCACAGGTCATCACCATCTCCTGCTTCATTTGTACCCTGGCTACCCAGAGACTATTTACCTTTGGGCTCCCAAAGACTACACGGCAGGCCCTGCCCGGCCAGAGTTCCTTGTGGAATGAAGGGTTGATTGAACGAACAGCCAAGAAAATACTGGCACCAGCTTAATTCAAATTCAATTCCCTAAAAATCCTAAAAATGACTCTGAGCTCAGGGAGAGACCCAGCACTGGAACAGAGGATGCCAGATGGTCACTGCCTTCCTCTTCTTGGATTTAATAAATGGATTAATTAAATGGATTTAATAAAATTAACATCGGTTCTGTGGTAATTCCCCCCCACAAGACCATCTCTGACAATCTTGAGTCTAACTACCAGAAATAACGAAAAGTGTGACAGTTTCATCTCTACCCTTTCTTGTTGATGTTCAAATGTTAGCGAACTACTTATAAATGAAACAAAATCCATGTGTGTGTGTGTGTAGGAATTGCTCCTTACAGACCATGTTGCTTTCCTGGGCTTGTCTCCAGGCTCCAAGACAGGCAGCTGCTTCATGGTGTCCTACGCAGAAGAAAGAAAGGCACTTTTTAGATATTTATGATTATCTTCTTCCTAAAGCAACCAATCAGGGCAAGCCTCCCACTCCTTTCAAACCTCTCCTGTGGAATGTTCCAATATCTAAGGCCTGATTAATCTGAATAAGCATCACCTCCAGCCCTTTGTATATTTTATTTTGAGACCGTCTTGCTCAGTTGCCCCAACTGGGGCAGAACTTGCCATTTTCCTGCCTCAGCCTCCTGAGTAGCTGGGATTGCTGACATGTGCCACCACCCTTTTCATAGGAATCTTTTTCTTTCCTTGTTTTTCTTTGGTGCTAGAGATCGAACCCAGGATTCACATTTTAGGTGAACACTCTCCTTGTAAACTACATCCCCAGCCCTTAATATAACTATGTAAGTTTTTTGGCTACATTTTTCTTCGATTCTCACGGGGAAGGGCCATATATAAGAATTTCAAAGGGCATAAAATGTTTATGTTGACTGAGAAATACTTAATTCTAGGATAAAGCTTGGCTTCCCCATGGAATAGAAGGCCAAGCCTTCGGAGTTTAACATTTTTTTTTTTTCTGATAATTTGGCTCCTCAGCTCTTGTAATATTGGCCTTTTTGCTTTCCTCTAATATTTATTTATTTATTTATTTATTTATTT